TCAGGTGCTTCTGTCTCCATGAAATATTGGAATTGATAAGAATTCTACCTAGTTGGTATTTTGTATTTGGCATAATTAAACCTAAAAATTCTAGTGCTTGAAAACCATGTTATTCTTACTCACTTGTACTATAATAGTAAGCTGCCTCATATCCTGTTAATACCTAAGATTAACAGAGGATCCCGATTTGGCAAGACTATCAGCAACCATGTTCCTTCTCTATAGACCTGAGCTATCTAAACTTTCAAGCCACCTCAAAACACACTCAAATTAAAACAAGCGTGACAACAAGATAAAAGAAATTCATACCTCCATAACATGTATTACTCACCCATGCTCTATAAATCATATATATATATATATATAAAAGAAATCTTACGAATGCTATGTATTTCATACTATCCCTCTGTCATTTTTCCTCCATGTTTATAATGGCATCTGCACGATAATAACGTGCGGATGTCCGGATGAGAGAATAACTATATATTCTGCAAATTGAAGAAGACGTCATGCAAAGAAAACAAAACCCTTAAATTTACTTAAATTTATTTCCATATTAATTTTAGGGAGGAGGATTTTTAATTAATTAATTTATTTTGTTACAGATGAGAGAATTCAAATAGTTGAAACATTGGGGTTTAATCTGCCTCTGGCTTTTTGTATTACTGGTTTGTTTCCAGATTCAGAGTAATTGCAATATGACATGTATGTAAAGGGAAGATTTTGTTTTAAATGATGAAACTTTCTCTTTACTCTCATTCTTTTTTCCTGATATTTTTACTTATAAATGTCATTAATCTCAATGCTTGTTCTTCAAATGCCCAATTGCCGGGAGCGGATCCGCTGTCCCCAATTTGGTGTCCCCTTCATGTCCTTTCTTTAAATGTTTGACAAGAGTCCTATCACTTAACCCTAATATAACAGTGTTAACTTAATAAAATAAAAAACTAAAAATTGAAAAACAAAATAACAATAAATCATAGCAGCCACTGTTACCAAGTCCCTCCGCCCCGCAAACACCAACAGTCAACCACCCCAATCACCCCATCCCACTGGCGGCAACCTCCCTTTCTTACCCTACCATAGGCCAGCCACCCAACGTAAGCCGCCCTAGGTTCACGATCTAGTAGTGGGTTAAAGCTCTGCTACCAATAAAAATCAACCACCCTTTCCCGAAATCATACACAAGTGAGCAGTCCCTTTCATTGTAAACACATGCAAAAACAACAAAACCAAACCCAAAAATCAAATTGAAACAAAAAATAAAGATTGGCAGAGAAAAGAACGATATATAGAGGAGGGAGGGAGGGAGGGATGGAGAGAAAGAGACAGATACATAAACAGAGGTTGGAGTGGGTAGCTGCCAAGTTGGAGTTCTTAATGCTGATTGATGACGAGCTTTAACCTCATATCCCAAAATGCCGGTTATCTTTGCTCGTAGGGCTCCCAAGGTTAAAAAAGAGGTTGGAGTGGACTGTTGGTGTTTGTTGGGCAGAGGCACTTGGTAACAGTGGCTGCTATGATTTATTGTTATGTTGTTTTTCAATTTTTAGTTTTTATTTTATTAAGTTAACACTGTTATATTAGGGTTAAGTGATAGGACACTTGTCAAACATTTAAAGAAGGGACATGAGGGGGACACCAAATTGGGGACAACGGATCCGCTCCCCCAATTGCCCATGCTGACATAAACCAAGAACCACAAGAACGGAAATTAAAGTAAACAATGATACATTATATTAGGATGTGTTCTCAATTCAGATTGCATTAATTTTTTTTTTTTTTTTTTTTTTTTTTTTTTTTTTTTTTTTTTTGTTCCACCAAGAGAAAATAACATTATTACTGATGTAACTGGTGTCATAAGATGTGGTGGCTAAAATTCCACAATGGTATTTTTAGCCACTTCATCATGTGCAACGAATATCAGTATGATTCAAAATGGACTCAATAACGGATAGCATTCACTAAAAATACATCACTAATCAATCTCTTTCTGTTGAGTTTAGCCAAAAGTTCCAACAACATCACTAATCAATCTCTTTCTGTTGAAGAATACAAATTGGTTCACTTCAAGGCCTAGTGTGCCTGGTCCCGCATCTCTCCTAATTGGGGTGAACAATTAGTATGAAATATGGATAGCTCAAGATGAAATGATTTCAACGATCATAAGGGGAATATTAAAAATTTTAACAAAGGTTTGACAGATAAGTTTTCTCAATAATATTTTCTATTCCACTTAAAAAACTATAAAATATATATAGGAACAAGAACGGGAAATCGCCGCCTGCAGTTGGTGGAGAGTGATCCCGTCTCATTATAGAATACAAAAAAAACCATACATAAGAACAAAACAAAATGAACAAAAAAACAACAAACAAAAGAACAAAAAATATATATAGATATTTTGATAGGCTTGAAATTTTTGTATGAACTGGTTCTTCATTTGTCGCATTATTTGACTTTTAAAAAAAGGGTTCCTATAAAACTGGTATTGTAAGAGGCTTTTCTTCTCACCTCTATATCCCATCTTTCTTAGCTTCTCTGGTTCAATTTGTGTGTGATTTGAGAGGGAAAAAAGAAAAGAGACAGAATGAGTTCAAATTGTTTGATAGAGAAGCCACATGCAGTTTGCATACCATTCCCAGCTCAAGGCCACATTAACCCATTGCTGAAACTAGCCAAACTCCTCCACTACAAAGGTTTTCATATAACTTTTGTGAACACAGAGTTCAACCACAAACGCCTCCTTAAATCCCGAGGTCCCAACTCTCTTGATGGCTTTCCATCCTTTCGATTCGAGACCATCCCCGACGGCCTGCCTCCAACTGATGCCAATGCCACCCAAGACATACCATCTTTATGTGATTCCACTAGGAAACACAGCTTGCCTTACTTCAGAGACCTTTTGTCCAAGCTTAACTCTTCGCCCGATTGCCCTCCTGTAAGTTGCGTAGTTTCTGACGGTGCCATGGGCTTCACTCTTGATGCAGCCCAAGAATTTGGCCTTCCAGAAGTGCTTTTCTGGACAACCAGTGCTTGTGGCTTCTTGGCCTATGTACAGTACCACCGCCTCATTGAAAAGGGTCTAACTCCTCTCAAAGGTTTTATTCTCAACTAAAAGGAAAACCCTACTTCTAGTTTGGTCATTTGGAATGACTGACTTTGCAATGAACATATATTTACTGATCATGATCTATTTTTTTATTTTTGGTTTGTAGATGAACATCTTGTCCTAAACCATGCTACTTGACATTATTTTTAACGCATTATTTCTTAATTTGATTTGCAGATGCCAGTTATTTGACAAACGGCTATTTGGAGACTGAGATAGATTGGATACCAGGCATGAGAGGCATCCGACTAAAGGACATCCCCAGCTTCATTAGAACCACAGACCCAGATGATATTATGCTGGATTTTTGGGTGCATGAAACAGAGAGAACTCGAAAAGCTTCTGCTGTCATCTTTAACACCTTCCATGACTTTGAACATGAAGTTTTAGATGCACTTTCGACTTTGCTACCACCTATTTACTCCATTGGACCCCTACATCTACAGATTAATCAGATCCCGGCAGATAGCGAGTTGAAGGAGATAAGATCAAACCTATGGACAGAGGAACCAGAGTGTCTAGAATGGCTTGACTCTAAAGAAACTAACTCTGTGGTTTATGTCAACTTTGGAAGCATCACAGTGATGACAGCAGAGCAGCTAATTGAGTTTGCTTGGGGACTTGCAAACAGCAACCAGACCTTCTTTTGGGTGATTAGGCCTGACCTTGTTGGTGGGGATTCAGCTGTGGTTCCACCAGAGTTTGTGGAAGAGACCAAAGAAAGGAGCCTGTTGGCAAATTGGTGCCCTCAAGAACAAGTCCTGAGCCATCCGGCTGTAGGAGGGTTCTTGACTCACAGCGGTTGGAACTCTACTATTGAAAGTGTGTGTGCTGGAGTGCCCATGATCTGCTGGCCCTTCTTCGCAGAGCAACAGACCAATTGTAGGTACAGTGAGAAAGAGTGGGGCATTGGCATGGAGATAGAGAGTGATGTTAAAAGAAACCACGTAGAGGGGCTTGTGAGAAAATTAATGGAGGGAGACGAGGGCAAAGAGATGAGGAAGAAAGCCCTGGAATGGAAAAAGTTGGCAACGGAGGCCACCAGTCCTAATGGCTCATCTTTTGTGGGTTTGGACAAAATGGTTAACCAGGTGCTTCTATCTCCATGAAATATTGGAATTGATAAGAATTCTACCTAGTTGGTATTTTGTATTTGGCCTACTTAAACCTAAAAATTCTAGTGCTTGAAAACCATGTTATTCGTACTCACTTGCACTATAAGTAAGCCTCATATCCTGTTAATACGTAAGATTTTGTTCTTTTTCCCCTCATTAACGGAGGATCCCGATTTGGCAAGACTATCAGCAACCATGTTAAGAAATCCATACCTCCATAACATGTATTACTCACCCATGAATAAAACTCTATAAATCATATATATATATATATATATATATAAGAAATCGTACGAATGCTATGTATTTTATACTATCCCTCTGTCATTTTTCCTCCATGTTTATAATGGCATCCGCACGATAATAACGTGCGGACGTCCGGATGAGAGAAAAACTATATATTCTGCAAACTGAAGAAGACGTCATGCAAAGAAAACAAAACTGTTCAATTTATTGCCATATTAATTTTAGGGAGGTGTTTCATAGACTTGCCTTTTTTATAGTGTTATATACTGTATATTAATTAAAAATTATGGGCATATTAATTGCTTACTTGGCGAAACACATAGGTTGCTGGATTTTAATTGAAAATGGAGAGCTTATTGACTACATCTTGATAAAAATGGACCTATATCTAAGAAGCTCTATCCATCGTCAGGGACAGACCTAGAATTTCAAACTAGGGTGGGCTAGATTTACCTTACGTACAAGCCTTGAAGGGAGTAACACAAAGATGATATGTCTTGGGTGATATTGGGATCCGTTGGAGGCAGGCCATCCGGAATGTTTTCGAACCGAAAGGAAGGAAGGCCATCAGGAGAGTTGGGCCCTCTGGATTTAAGAAGGCGTTTTTGGTTGAACTCTGTGTTCACAAAGGTTATGTGGAAGCCTTTGTAGTGGAGGAGCTTGGCTACTTTGAGCATTGGGTTTATGTGACCTTGTGCTGGGAATGGTATGCAAACTGCATGAGGCTTCTCTGTCAAACCAATTGAACCCATTTCTTTGTTTCTCTCTATTTTATTTCCCTCAACATGACACGAACATGAAGCTAATGAAAATGGAAATGGAATGGTGTGGTGGGAAGATGAAGTGTTTGCAGTTTATATACAAGGTAAGAGGTGGGCTGATTAGGTACACTTACACACCGATTTTTTTAATTAATTTAAAAGTCAAACAAATCGGAAAGATTTAGCTGTATCGTTCATAAGCCGAATGTAATCATATATATATATATATTTAGGGGGCATATCATATAATATTCAGAGTCAAATTGTCAATCTTATTACCGACTTAGTTTTAACAGAGAGGAGAGGACGTGCCACAGTGACCACATGCAAGCATTTGAAGGTTTTTTTTTATCATTCATTCGTATTGACTATCTAGGTAAGTGTGATCTGATATCAAGGCTTAAAATCTCCATGGATGGGCCTTCGAGTAAACAGTCCCCATCACTATAAATATTATACAACATCACCTCAATGATAGGGTCTTTTTTTTTAGGTCATAATTTTTAAGGGAAGGATCACATGGAGATTTGTGAGATGAGCATCCCTAGATGCGATTCAGTGATCTAAACCATCTATTTAGAAACCATTTGATTTGATTGATGTAATTTTCTGTAATAAAAAATAGAAACAAGAACAATGTCATTGATAAACACTGAAATGACCTATGACAAATGATTCTAAAATAAATGTCTGAAAAATAGGTGGTTCGAATTATGGAATTAAATTACAAGATAGGTTGGGTTCTAACAAAACAATGAATCCTCATAAATAAAGAGACTTATTATATTACGTGTGTATTCCATGCCACAAATAGGAACACCACAAGTGGGACTAGTGTGTAGGAGAAAGATTTCTATAAAACGGGGATATCACTTTCACTTATTTTGGCGGACTAGTGTGTAGCATTATTGGTCGTGCTATCTCCGTTGCAATTAAGGCAACTTGTTTTGGCAGGGACCATAAGATAATTGATCTCTTTGTTGAAAGAGACCACTCTTAAACGGTGGTCATGAACATTACTATCACATTATATGTGCGGTTGAATAATTTTTTGAAATTTAAATAATGGGTAGATTATATCAAATTAATCTGATAACATATAATGTGATGATAATGCTCACTGTAAACACTTTTTGAACACTTGGATTGGATATGATGATTCCATTATTTGCATTGGGAGTTAGATTTCAGATCTACTGTGGGATTTGTTGGTATATGTTAAACGAGTTCACCCTATGATTAAAAGCTAATATAATGTGAAAAAGTATCATCCAAGGTCATTGGAGTGTACTTATTATGTGAACAAAAATTAATTACAAACATGTTATTAATATTTTTAGTTAGAGAATATTATATTGTTAGTTACAAATGACAATCAATAATTCATTAGAAATAATTAACAAAAACCTACTTGTTATGTTAATAACCAGTTGTTATCAACTTTTGCTTGTATGAGGCATGAGCCCATGTGGGAGGACCATCGATGCATCGGAAAGGCTTTTTAGGCAGAAAATGATTGTTAAATTAAGGGGCCACAATTTTGTCCTCGATATGTAAATATTTGGACTGCTTGCATAGAGGCTGAGGTAAAGGTTCAAACATATATATATATATATATATATATAGGATTCGTGACATCATATTTTGTATATAAGTTTTGACACAATTTTTAGGTCATTAAATTACTTCACTTTTAATTAATGAAATTAAACCTTTTAGCATGAAAAATTTATTTAAATACGAATTTTATATATATGGGGCATATTTGTGACCCCTATTGATAGATCATATCACCACTGAAAGCTGAGACTATTACAGACCGAGACATTTCATTGCTAGGTTGCACATATATCGACCCGAGCAGACATGCCTATTACTGACCGTCACGTGGTCCTTTCCTTGCTAGGCTACACATATACTGATCCGACCACAGTGGTGCTATATCTGACCAGGAGCACGTTGATGACTTGCAAGGTTGAACGGACCCCTGTCAGATCAGTCACTCCAACCTTTGATAGGACAATGTGGCGACAACAGGGAATCAATTAATGCACTTCCTATCTAGGACCAGGTGTCGCCTCCCCCTTTGATACTTAGTAAACCACTTGGTGATGGAAATGGACCATTTAATACGCCTCCCATCTGAAGCCATTGCTTCGCCTCCTGACCCCTGTCAGGTAGCATAGTGAGCAAATTAGGCCATTAAATGTGAGTTCAGCCCCATCAATGGGAAGGGAAGAAAATATCTTCTCTCTCAAAGATATCTCAGTCTCCCATTCTTCCCCTATAAATGCCCCTCACTTATTCCTGGACAAAGGTAATAACTTCTCACTTATGAAACCCTATATCCAATTACGCCACCACCAAATAGCTTCTGACTTAACCATCGGAAGGGGCTCAACTGGGATCAACCCCAGTTCACTCATGTTCTGATAAACCGTTCTAAGTGTGCAGGTGTCTCCCTGGAAACCACTCATCTACGTGATCAAATACCAGCCCAGGTTCGAGTCACTGTGTGTAAAGGATATGAGGTTTACAACCCATATATATATATATATATACAGTCCACTTTTATTGAGGGATCCCTTAAATAATTTTATTTGAGGAACGCCCTTTAGGATACCCTACAAATTTTTTTCCAATGATCCAATCCATCTATTTTTTAGGTATTCATTATAGATCATCCTCACAAAAAATTAGACAAATTGGAAACCGTTTAGACATCCAATTGTGTCCTACAAAATCAATAAACACGGTGCTTCAAGAAAGTACTAAAATTTCAATAACTCAATTGAATGGTTAAATGATATCGGATTCAAATGATTTTTTTTGTAGAGATTATCTTTGAATGACTATCTACAAAATAGACCGTTTGGATTAGTGAAATACAATACAGAGTGGGCCATACAAGGGGTGTCCCTAAAATAAGCTTAATTGAGGGATCCCTCAATGGAAGCTATATATATATATACAGTCCCCTTCTATTGATGGATCCCTCAAATAAATTATTTGAGGGACGCCCTTTAGGGTATCCTACAATTTTTTTTCCAATGATCCAAACCATCTATTTTTTAGGTCTTCATTCATAGATCATTCTTACAAAAAATTAGACAAATCGGAAACCGTTTTGACATCCAATTGTGTCCTACAAAATCAATGAACACGGTGCTTCAAGAAAGTACTAAAATTTCAATAACTCAATTGAATGGTCAAATGATATTGGATTCAAGTGATTTTTTGTAGAGATGATCTTTGAATGTGTATCTACAAAATAGACGTTTGGATTAGTGAAATACAATCCGGAGTGGGCTCTACAAGGGGTGTCCCTCAAATAAGCTTATTTGAGGGATCCCTCAATGGAAGCTTATATATATATATATATATATATATATATATATATAAAGATATTATGAGAATTTCTCGTGGGCCCTCTAGTTTTTGAAATGTTTGAAATGTTTTCAATTTATTATATTTTTCAACTTGAAATGTGAAAGATATATTTTGCTTCCAAAACAATAGGATTTTTTTTATTTAATACAAGCAATACTATAAGGAGGTTTTTCACACACACTACCATGATATCATGTGGGTTTGAACATGAGACGCCTAGTCTGCAAGTCAAGCTATTTCTACTGGCTAAACATCGTTGGCCAAAACAATATGATTTACTTCCCTTGAATAAATAATTTTAACATCTGAAAATTTCAAAACAAACATATTTGAAATTATATTTTGATAATAAATTTCACTAAACCAATACCAATTTATTTCTTCACTTTCACGTCCAAAAGAATGAATCTCCACGGATCAAAACTCTTCATCAGCTTTGGTTGGTAAATAAGTGTAAAAGGAAGTAGTCTTCCACTTTGGTAAAAACCCTCTGATTTCCACCTCAACATTTTTAACTTGTTCTTCACCATTGTTGGCCCTATTTGCCTCCTCTTCTTAAGCTTTGGTTGGTATAAAAATGTAAAAGGATGCAGTCTTAGTGCTAAAAGCCTTGAGAAATGGAGGATTTTTTTATTTATTTATTTCTTTTGTTACAGATGAGAGAATTCAAATAGTTGAAACATTAGGGTTTAATCTGCCTCTGGTTTTTTGTATTACTGGTTTGTTTCCAGATTTGGAAGAACTTTGTAGAGCAAGAACACTCATGTTGCTAGATTATGGTGTTTGATGAAATGCGCAAGAGACTGGGCGTTGCTGCGCTGCTACTGTGCACGCGCTGCGCACATCATGTTTTTTTTTTTTTTTTTTTTTTTTTTTTTTTAAGCCTGGCCAAAACGACGTCGTTTTGGACTAGGTTTTTTAAAAACGCGCTGCTTGTTTTTTCTTAAATTTTTTTTATAAACCTGGCCAAAACGACGTCGTTTTGGACCATGGTTTTTAAATTTAAAAAAAAAGAAGGAAAAAAACGGAAAATGATGCTATAAACACGTGGACTTTTTGTGGGCGAGGACTATTCTTTGGTAGGCATTGAATGTATGCCCTAAAGACAATTTTTTTAACTCTTGGATCTAATTTTTTCCACCACGGTTTTGATTTGAGAATTACTGTTGAATCTATTCTCATGTCAAAGAAGTTCACCTTCTACATGAGCCAATGTGATATGAAAATATATCATCAGGTATATGATTGGTGTGAAATTATGCAAACACAATAACAAGAATATTCTCAAAGTTACGTGATTTGCACTTTCACTTTTCTCGATTTTACTACTTTTGGATATGCAAAATGGGGCCTTTCTCCATTGTGAATTACATTGATGCGGATTCAATACGGATTTCTATTTTGATCCGTTCGATGGCTTGGGCGGTGGAGATTTAACACAACAAACAAGACATAAAAAAAAAATAGAGATATTTAGTAATATACCCATTCTTAGCACTAAAACTATAAATAAACCCTACATCATTTCATTTTTATAAACATACCCAAAAAAAACCCAAAAAATAACAAATGGTACTATTAAATTTAATTTTAAT